TTGTGTGAAAGAGTTCTGGCCAGAAATGAAATATTATTTTTGCCACTGATAAAAAGCAAAATCCTACTTTGAATCAAAATTCAATTTTTGAGTTTACATTGCAGAAGATTTAGATTGTTGATTAAAAATTATTATAGCTGGTAATGGTTATTTCATCCAAAATCAACACCCATGAAAACACAAAAAAATGAAAAACTCACCTAAGAAATCAGCTGTAGATTCTGCAGATGTTGTCTGCAACTGTTTTGTTTCTATACAAGTTCTGATGGCACTAGATACACTATGGCTTAGAACTTGGACAGCAAGTTTTACATTCATTTTTTGGAAGTTCGTAGGGTAAATGTGTTTGTCTGTCAACTTGACCAAGGCTCTGCATTTTTTATTTCTGTCCAGGTCATAGACTTTCTTGATGTCATCAAATGATATTAATTTATTGTTATGAAGAAAGTTCCCATTCAAAAGGTTATTCCTATAATTTTTTATCAGATGTAGAGAGTCATATAATGCTATAATTCTTTTTTCTCCATGGTCTGTTTGGATATCAAAGTGAGGCTTGTCTTTTGATACTCCAAGAAGTTTATAGCATTTTTGATTTGATGTTCCTTGATCACATACCACAGCTTTTGGATCTAAACCACTTGAAAAGCATTTTTTTATCAATGTAGATAATAATTCTCTGATATTTTCACCAGGCATCCCTGAATGTGTGAAAAAATATGCCAGAGGCAGTTTCCAAGAGCTTAACATGCCCCTTGCCATGAAAACTAAAACATACTTAGCCTTTCTGTTTGTCCGTCCCAGGCTCCCCATATCCTCATACCCTTCAATGAAGTCCATAGCTGGAGAGTATTCTAAATATTGCTTTATGCACATTTCATCAAAAGATATAACACATTTTTTTTCATCATTTGTCATACTCTCAGATTTTAAATTTATCTGGCTGAAAAATTTTGCATTGAATCCAGTTGCAAATTTGGACTGTCCTATCCATGCCCTCACAATACTAATACTAGGAAGAACAATTTTCTGCCTCAAATATTTATAGGCACTTGGTGACTTATAATAAAGTAAGATGGCAAATTTCTTTTCATCAGCATGCCACTTTCGTTTTTTCTGTTTTAACTGCATTTTAACTATGGTTCTAGACCAGTGCATTAAAAACTGATGATTTTCTAACTGTAGATTCAAAGGAAGGAGCAGTTTTATCCTAGATACAGTTTTTTTCAGTTTATAGATATGAGAACGCTGATTAGAAATGATATGGGATTTCTGTTTCAACTTCTCATTCAACATAGCTATTTGTTCAGCTTGTTTTTGAATAATTCCTTCCTTGGATTTCTTGGCTTTTTTGATGGTGATGGTAATGAAGGCATATCAATCAGATTTTTTTTTTTTTTTTTTTTTAAGCGTTTATTTCATCCCAAAATACACAGAGTGTTACATAGGGATACCTCTAATAATAAGTACAAAAATAATTTGATATCACACAGTTCTGCCCTTCAATCACTATATCTACAGGTAAACATATAAGAAATGTATAAAGTTAAATTCTAAATATAAAAATTACGGTAGAATAACACAATAAACAAGTTAAGATGTATCACAGTGAAATAGTTGAGATAATAAAATATTTGGTTAGATATATCACAGTAGTAGGTTAATGACTGATATAATGAAATAGTGCTTTCAATGGGTATACAAGGGAACGTGTCTCTTCATGACAATTTTAAATTTGTTTACATTCAATTTTTTTATGTTGGAGGGGAGTTTGTTATATTCTGCTGCTCCTTTATATAACAGTGAATTCAGGCCATGACGTGAGCATATTCGTGGTAAAGATATATCTTTGCATTGTCTAGTTTCATATGGATGAATTTCATATCTCATAGGGAACTCCATTTGAGTGTGTCTCACCTGATTCAGTGCTTGATGAATAAATTCATTAACTTTCACCACATAGAGGCTATCCAGGGATCTAATATTGTATTTGCCGAACAGATTTGATGTTGTAGATCTCATTGGTAATTGATACAGGTTTTTGATGGCTTTGTTCTGTAGTGTTTTCAGTGGTGTTATATAACTCTCAAAAGTTGAGCTCCATTTATGATGATTAGGTATTCCAGATGGGAATGAACTAGGGAGAAGTAAACTGACCTCAATAGATATTTTGGCACAGTATAACTTAATCTCCGAAGAACACCTACTGGTCCTATAATTTTTTTGCGTACATATTCAATGTGCTCATGCCATGAAAGCTTTTCATCAATGATCAGGCCAAGAAATTTAATTTTACTAGAGTATTTCATAGTACTATTTCCAAATGATATTTCTTTTTTGGTGTAATCAGGCACCTTACATTTATCAATCCACATGAAAGAGGATTTATTCAAATTGAGGGTCAACTTATGGCAAGATAACCATTTGGTCAAGCACTGGAGGTCTTGTTCGATGTTCTGAGAGATGACATCACATGTTTCTCCAAAGTATACAATTGTTGTATCATCTGCATACAGTCGGACTTCCCCTCTAATAGTTATGTTCGTTAAAGAGTTGATGTAAATGAGGAAAAGGGTGGGACCTAAAATCGATCCCTGTGGTACACCACAGGTAATTTTCTTCTTTTCACTAGAATATGAACCGTATTGGATGAATTGCTTTCTATTTGATAGGTAGTCACGAAACCATGTGACATACTTCCCCTGAACACCGATCATTCTCATTTTTTCGAGTAAGATATCATGGTTGACTGTGTCAAAGGCTTTACACAAGTCAAGTGAAACAAGAGCACACTTTTTGTTTTTATCAATTTTCATTTGTACTTCAGATATCAGATCAACAGCAGCGCTGGTGGTGTCACTTGACTTGCGAAAGCCATACTGTGATTTGGTCAATATACTATTTTCTTCAAGATATTCCAGCAGTTGCTTGTTCACGATTTTCTCAATTATTTTCGATAGTATTGGAAGCACTGATAAAGGGCGATAGTTATTTGGGTCTTCCTTATCACCGGACTTATACATAGGTGACACTTTCGCTAGTTTGAAGACTTCTGGTACTTTACCACATGATAAGGACTGGTTTATAAGTTTATACAAAACACTTTGTAGTTCAAGTTTACACTCTTTCACAGTCTTTGCTTCAATCTGATCCCATCCTGGTGCCTTGGATGTATCCAGGTCATCTATAATTTTACCTATATCCTCCTGTGTTACCGGGGTGAATGAGAATCTGGCATCACAAGTTGTTTCCTTGGCAGGGTCTATATTTTGGGATGTGATGTTTGCGGCCAGTTTTTCCCCAATTCCAACAAAATAGTTGTTCATATAGTTGCAGACTTCTTCCGGACTTGTGATGGTATCATTGTTATCTGTTTTTATAGAAGAAATATGGTTTGTATAGGTTGTTGACTCGTTTCTAATGATGTTGTTTATGATTTTCCATGTTTTTTTTTGATCCCCATTAGTTCTATTGAATTTTTCTTCATAATATTTCTTCTTCGCAGCTTTGACTTCAGTTTTAACAGATTTTTGAGCGATTTTGTGTTGGTCGAAGAAATATTCATTACTTGGAAATCTTTTTTTCTTTTCGTATAGATACTCTTGATGTTTTATCGCTTGTAGCACTTTCGATTTTCAATCCAGCTGCCAGATGAAGATGATGAACTGAGATTTTCAACTGATTCTAATATTTTCCTCTTTGATGCTCTCTTTTCATTTATTCCATATGTTTTTGATGGAAGACTACTGATGAGGTCTGAGGATTCTTGGCTGCAGATTTTATAGCTCTTGGGAACAACAGATGACTTTAGTCGTTTCTTGTCCACAAGATTAATATAATCTTCATCACAAAAATGGTGCTCGCATACCACACGTTTCTGAAGATCAGAAAAGTCCAGATCATCCAAAAGGATATTTCCTGAAAGAACAGATTTTAAATAAAAAACGAGGACCTGTAAGAACAGTAAGAACAATAGGATTTGACAATTGCAAATTTAGAATTTATTTATAGAGGTTCACCACTTATGGACACATAATCAGTGGTATTTGCTGAAATTTGATGTCTAAACTTCACTCATACTCTAAAAACAGTTGAAAATGCAAGAACCTTAAATGACAGTTTCCTCACCTGAGCTGATAATCCATTTCTTGGCTCTTACTGGATCCTTGGGAAAATAAAACATTTTCAAATTCGTCACTTTTCTACGTGTCCTATCACAGTTTATAAACGCACACACATTTCCAGACATTATAAAACTGATAACTACCTACTGCACACTATTGTACACAGAATTTAATATTTGGAATGATGGGTACTTTAGGTTCACGAATGAAATTGGAAGACAGTATAGGAATTATTCACTAAATCACACGAGAAAAAAGCCAAAGCCGACGTATCGAATACACAGACAAGACAAAATAATCTACGAACAGTACGAACAATTGAACATAACCTCAAACAAAGCAAGCGTAGCTGTAAAAACTCGCAGCTGGCTTCTCAACCACTTCCAACTTCAGTTGAGAAAAGTCAACCAATCAGAGTCAAGGAGTTATCGAGACTAGTGACATCTCGAATTCAAATCCTAAACCTCGAAATATTTATGGCCATTTTCAGTACAGGAAAAGTATATCTTAGTGGGTAACTTATCTCTGCTTTTAGAATTAGATATCCGCGATATGAATGATATGATTTATTATGAAATATGAACTCTTTATTCTGTCGCTACGCTAGAGACTAGAGAGTAGAGCGAAGATCCGAGATCCCCAGTTCCCTGACCGGATGTTCAATGCAATGATTCCGAATTTCCTAATTATCGCATTAGAAAGCGAACGTTTCACTTCACAGTTCACTTTCTGAAAGCTGAAAGAGAGTTTAATGACATAACCTCATTTATATCTAACCTTCAATAATTTGGAAATGTTCCAGACTATTTTTCTCACACTTCTGATGATAATTTGTTATCATCAGCATTAGATAATGGAGAAGTACTCATGAAAAACCATACTCATCATTGCCTTTGATGAGACAGCAAATTCATTACTAAGGTTTCACTTTATAGGTTAGATTAGACTTGGATCAGAACATCAATCCCTTTATAAAATGAGTGGAGATCACAAAATACGTGTTGGATCACGTAAAAGTGAAGTAAGTTCAATAAAATAAATAACAAAATACCTTTGTGGGCTAAAGAAATGTTTTTTCAGCTCGCCCTAATCCAAACAAGACATGTCATTTCCCTTTTGAAAGACTGTTTTCCTGAAAAAGAATTCGAAATAGGTGAGACTCATAAACATACTTTATATATGAAGGAACCATGAAGATTTTCGTTTCAGTGACAATGAACACTTTGGGAGACACTGTGCTTGACATTCCACTGCCAAAAATCGGAGAAAAATCCCTGTTTACAAAGGAACTAGAAACGGCCCTTGCTACAGGGTGCGTTGATTTCGTCGTACACTCTCTAAAAGACTTACCCACTTGTTTACCAAGTGGTATGGCCATTGGTGCAGTCCTAACAAGGTATTTACAACAAAAAAATACACATTCAACTTGGCAACAAAAATAACCTTTCTTTATCAGAGAAAACCCAAGAGATGCTTTGGTACTTCAGAAAGACTTAAAAGACTATACTCTCTCAACTTTACCTGCAGGCAGTGTGATTGGTACTTCTAGTCTAAGGAGAACTGCCCAATTGTCTAAAAAGTACCCCCATTTGAAGGTTCAAAATATCAGGGGAAACCTGAACACAAGACTGAAAAAACTGGATGAACTGGGACAATACCAGGCGATCATTTTGGCGGCTGCAGGGTTGATAAGGATTGGATGGAAAAATAGAATTTCAAAAGTTAGTCCAACAATTCACCAATTTATATTTGCATACTTTTTATCTGATTCATTTTCCCTATAATTTCCTTCATTTCCCATACCATATATTTAATATCATTTCTATAATTCCTTACTTTTTTTCCATTTTCTTCAATGTTCTCCAATTTCCCTTATATTATCTCCCATTTCCCAGTACCTAGTCCTCTGATTTCCCATTAATTCTTCTATTTATTACCAAAATGAATATTGAAATAATATTATTGTGATAGTTCATTCTGTTTATTTTTCCTAACAATTCCTCCTCTATTTTTCATTCCAATCATTATTTTACCATTCACTCAAATGAGTTTTCTTGATTTCCTATCACTTTTTTGATTCCCTCCAATGTACTCCAAGTTTCTTTCCACTGTCTTCCATTCTCTCTATTTCTTCTGATTTCTCCATCAATTCGATTGTTAGATCAAAAATTAATGAGGTACTTATAATAAAAATAATGCAATATCAAAATACAAGTAGACTGCTTATTATCATTTACTATACTATCAATTTAAAACTATTCTTCATCTTTCATTCAGCATTTATTTCATTTTATTTCTTTCAATTATTCTTATTTTTCTCGCAACTCCTTCAATATTCTTCAAGTTTTCCCTCCATTTTTATTTCTATTCTTCTCACCAGTAGTAGTATACAGGGTGATTCACGGTGGATGGCACATTGGACGTTTCTGGAAAACGCAACTCAGGATTATTCTGAAAAGTTGGTGGCTTGGATAATTAATTGTGTTCTATCGTTACCACCGATCGGTGGTAACGGTTCTATCGACCTAAAATATTCTCAGCGTTGCGACGTTGCCGCTTATATTGAAAAGTAGGAACAACTTTGATTTTTTCAATGGAACACCCTGTATATCATTCCATTTTCAGATTCTCCCTGGAGAGCTGATTCCATCGATCTATCACACTTGGGGTCTAGCAGTAATGATAACAACTTTAAGAATTTTTTGTGTCCAAACTATTCATAATTGATCAAAACGGTTCTCATGTCCCTCTATCTTAACTTTTCATGTACTATCAATTGATATTTAATCGAAATAGATACAGGGTGGTCAAAAATCATAATTCTGAACCATCCTGTATTTATTCCAATTAAATATCAATTGATAGTACATGAAAACTTAAGATAGGGACATGAAAACCATTTTGATCAATTTCGATTTTTCACACCCTATATCTTTGTTATCAATCCCGCTAGGACCCAAGTGTGATCACCCTGTATATGTACTTCATCAATACCTATGTATGTACATACATATCAACTGGCCATCTACCTTATGATATGTCCTTCAGCCCATGTGTGTTCTGTATAGGCTTTGTTACTCACTCCATATGTCACCTCAGGAGCAGCACTGTTATTAATTAGAACGCAAGAGCGAATCGTTGGGAATCTTCTCCGGCCGAAGCTACGAAAATTAGAATTCATAACTCGTTTCCATTCTTCTCAGTAACCCATCAATGTTTTTTATTCAAAAATAGGCATTAATTATTCTGGGAAAATATATTTCGATACTCCCTTCCAGTGCCATTCATTTCCTGGAGATTAGTCGAACAACTCTCTATCAAAACTCCCCCTTCCACGCGCGCATAATGTATTATTGTGAACATAACAGGGAATCCTTGACAAAAAATGCAGAAAAAAACATTTTTCTGCAACCGACACAAAAGTCGTCCATTTTGATACCAAAATTAGCTCTTAAATTGACGTTTCTATTACTGACACAAAAATAGGTATGTTGCTAGGCAACATATTTAGTTCCTAGGAGCTAAAGTTGAATTTTAGTTCCTAGGAGCTAAAGTTGAACTTTAGCTCCTAGGAAGTAAAAAGGATCTACTGGACGTCATCGAGAATAAACAACATTGTGACGGTTGGTTATTTGGGTTGAGACGCATACCTGATTTGTTTCCGATTTCAGCAGATTTGGCATTTCATACCCATGCTGGAGATATAAATTCACCTCATTATAGTTCAGTATTGGAATTATAAACATCTCAGTTAAGTATTTTTGTTTTGATCAGGGAAGCCTTCAAGATTTAAATACTTGCTTGATCTGTATTTCATTCGTTATTCTCGGGATCTATAACTTGTTTTTGAATAATCACGGCAAGCAATAGTTTTTTTGTCTCAAACAACGATATCGTTCGGCTTCATTTGATTATCAAGTCAAACACTGTGTAGTATGGAGAGAAATAAATAATCACTATTATCATTGTTGATATGCTCACTAACCTAATATTTTCCACGTCTTGTTCCTATAGCTGGCACTGGCGCGGTATTTGCCATTAGAGCACTTGGTCCATACACAAATATGTCACTCTGTGGTTGTATTCATATTGAAACTACAATTTGAACATCCTAGAATACCTAACCTGCTGTTAATGCAGGTAGAATATTCTCACCACATGGATTATTTGTCAATATTTGTTGCATTGCATACATATGGCACGGCATTGGTTACTTCACATGTTTATTTGAGTTAATTGTTTCGGTTGCAGAAAAAATAGCATGTTTCATTCGGATCAAAAGTGACTTTGTTCGACTCGCAAATTTTGCTTTCGCTCGGCTTCGCTAAACGCTCCGCCTCGCAAATGCAAAATTCGCTTGTCAAACAAAGTGTCACTTTTGATCCTAATAAAACAATCTACTATTCCAGATTCTGACCGAAGACGAACTATTATACGCCGTAGGCCAAGGAGCCCTAGCGGTGGAATGCCGATCCAACAACGAGGAAATCCTCAATCTGCTGGAACCTCTCTACGACCTGCAAACCGCCATTCGTGTGACAGCAGAACGCAGCTTCCTGAAAACCCTGGGAGGGGGCTGCAGCGCTCCGGTGGCCGTCAGCTCGGACCTCAAGGTCTCCGCTGAAAACGAATACGATATTTGCTTGAAGGGAGCCGTTTGGAGCCTAGACGGACAAGAAGAAATTTTGGCTGTCAGAAGTGCCGTGGTATGTGGAGTTCACGTGAACTTTGGGATACCACGTGACTAAATACTTATGCATATTCAATGCATACGCGACCACGTGATGTCCCAAAGTTAATTTGGTCAGACTCTAAAGCACCCTTTTTTTCTTAAAAGCTTTTATTTAACTTGCAATGTATGTATGTTTTGTCCGGTAGAATCTTTGAACTCAATTTTGAAGATATCTTCAACCGATTGAGCTGAAATTTTGTATACACGTTTAGATGACAATGCACGATAAGGTGTGTGACGTCATTCTAAAGCCAATATGGCGGACCATCCAAGATGGCGGAATAGGTATTCTCAATGCACTTCTACAATATGGGTATCAAATGAAATGGCTCGTTGAGAGTAGTTCGAAAAATAATGTGACATCATTCTGAATCCAATATGACGGACCATCCAAGATGGCGGAATAGTTATTTTTAATCTACTTCTACAATATGGGTATCAAATGGGAGGACTCGTTAAGAGTAACTCGAAAAATAATGTGACGGTATTCTAAATCCAATATGGCGGACCATCCAAGATGGCGGAATAATAATTTGCAATGCACTTCTACATTATGGGTATCAAATGAAAGGACTCGTTGAGAGTAACTCGAAAAATAATGTGACGGTATTCTAAATCCAATATGGCGGACCATCCAAGATGGCGGAATAATTATTTGCAATGCACTTCTACATTATGGGTATCAAATGAAAGGACTCGTTGAGAGTAACTCGAAGAATAATGTGACGGTATTTTGAATCCAATATGGCGAATCATCCAAGATGGCGGAATAATTATTTGCAATGCACTTCTACATTATGGGTATCAAATGAAATGGCTCGTTGAGAGTAACTCGAAAAATAATGTGACGGTATTCTAAATCCAATATGGCGGACCATCCAAGATGGCGGAATAATTATTTGCAATGCACTTCTACATTATGGGTATCAAATGAAAGGACTCGTTGAGAGTAACTCGAAAAATAATGTGACGGTATTCTAAATCCAATATGGCGGACCATCCAAGATGGCGGAATAATTATTTGCAATGCACTTCTACATTATGGGTATCAAATGAAAGGACTCGTTGAGAGTAACTCGAAAAATAGTGTGACGTTATTTTGAATCCAATATGGCGGATCATCCAAGATGGCGGAATAGTTATTTTCAATGCACTTCTACAATATGGGTATCAAATGAAAGGGCTCGTTGAGAACAACTCGAAATATAATGTGACGTCATTTTAAATCCAATATGGCGGACCATCCAAGATGGCGGAATAGTTATCCACAATGCACTCTTTTACAATATGAGTATCAAATGAAAGGGCTCGTTGAGAGAAGTTCCAAAAATAATGTGACGTCGTTCTAAATTCAATATGGTGGACCATCCAAGATGACGGAATAGTTATTCACAGTGCACTCCCAATATGGCGGACCATCCAAGATGGCGGCATAGTTATTTTAATCTACTTTTACAATATGGGTATCAAATGAAGAGACTCGTTGAGAGTAACTCGAAAAATAATGTGACGTTATTCTAAATCAATATGGCGGAACATCCAAGATGGCCGAATAGTTATTATTTATGAACTTCTGCAATATGGGTATCAAATGAAAGGGCTTGCCGAGAATAATTAGAAATAATGTGACATCACTCAAAATCCAATATGGCGCACTATTTAAGATTTTGCTTACCTATAATGACAGTGTTAACTGGGAATAAAGATGCAGGTTTGAAAAAATCGATTTTTAAGCCTGTAAGGAACCTAGCCAGCGATAACAAAGTAAATTGAAAGTGAAAAACTTCTTAAGAAGAAGATTTTTTGAATTGACTCGGCCGTTGCGTGATGGAAATTCATAGCAAAAGTAAAAAAAATATTTAAACACTCTAAAAAGAAGAGAATAAAATGTTCCTTTTGAATGTTAACTATCAACTTATAATCTCATTATACCCAATTTATATGATCATAAAAGCTTATCATGATGATCAATATTCAATTATATTGAAATTTTAGACATTTAAACTTAGCAGATTTTACCTAATCAAATTAGTAAGTAAGTAAAGTTTCAATTCAAATTGTTTGAAGAGTGGCAAATGCAGGTCTGAAGATTCTGTTCATACAAACATACTTAATATACAAATACACATACCAAGCTAATAAATGCGTGGTAAAAACAGGAAGTATTTCAGCTGAATTTGTAAATTCCAAAAACTAGTTCACGTAATAATTCTGTTCAAAATTCCCGTTTATCACAGATACCCGTGAAAAAAGACCTGCGGTGCGCTACTTGCCCCTACAGAAACTCGGACACCCCTGTCGGCGACATCGAGAACCTCGAATGCTTCAACAAGTGCGCCATAATCAACACGGAACCGACGAAAAAGCGCCCCAAACTGGACATCCCGGCGGAGATACTAAAAAACGACCCGCACGACAGCTGCCCCGTTCAGCTGCCGGTAGGGGCCGATTTCATGGGCCAATGCCCCTACTTGGAGAACAGGTTCCAGGCAGGGACCAGCAAGTGCCCTGTCAACGGGAAAATTGAATCGGACGTGCCTCTGGATGAAGCCAGGTAGGGTCATTCATGGATGAGGGACTGATGAAATAAACCTCTGGTGCGCTCACTCTTCATTTGTTTCGTCAGACTGGTTCTTGATATAAACAATTGAATTTCAGACGATGACGTGGGGTTCACATATCGAATGTTAGATGGCGTGAATCTTAGAACTTATGATCAACATCAGTTCTACCAACCTTGATGCGGCTAAATCGCAAAAAGTATTCCCTATCTTCATTGGTCACAATTCGGTCACAATTGTCACATTGATGCCTGTAGTTTTGGTACGGCACCAGACTAAATTTAGCGACATTCACCCACGCCATGTTATGTTCATCGAAGTAGGCGAAAATCAAGGAATTGTAAAACAGGAAAGGATTGAAGTGCGTACACCAGAGGTTTATTTCATCAATGATGAGGGGTTTCTAGCAGAAACAGCACTTGTCACAAACAGTAATTTGAAACAGAAATGAATTGAAAAAAAAAATGGTTATGGGACAAGTTATAATAATCATAATTATCTTTTAGGAACTTCAGAATATATCATTTTTGTGTCTGATGATAGCCTGTGGCTAACTAGCTACAATACTTATGAAAAAATATGTTCCTGGTCGACAGACTTTGTGACTTCTATTACTTCTTCTTCTAAAAATCAAAAGTGTCTAATGAATCCTCCTTTTTTAATAAGCGAGTGGACTATTTTTTTATTTCTTGAATATATCATCACTCAAATACCGTTCAATTTCTTATTTTTCAAGAAATTTTTGTTCGATTTTTGGGTGCTAAAATCAGCTAGAAACAGTGTTGTTCCTGGGTCTGATTTTTTCTTGATAGATTTCCTTGGAAAAAGGTAACAGATTTGTATCAAAAGGTAATAGACTCGAAAAATCTGACATTTGACATCCTGAATGTCATTCTTGTCAAACCCTATCGCACAAATTAGACAGCTATGACAGGAACGAGGCTTGAGTCACGCAGAACTTATGACATAAATATAGAACATAGACCCATATAGTAGAATATAATTATCCGCTGAACATAGAAATAGATTTTTTAGTAACGAAACATCATCTTTCGGTGCTAACAGCAAATAGTAATAGATTAATGACAAATCGTAATATCGCAACAATCTCCGTGAAATAGTAATAGATTTATTACAAAAGTAATGACAAGAACAACACTGGCTAGAAATTTACCGCTAGTAAAAACTGACGCCACGATTTCGTAAGTAGGGGCAGACCATAGCACAGTTGAAATACGATTGGAAACTTCAGAAATATTTGTCATCCAATAATGCATAAATTCTCAATTGAGTATTTGTAATATTCCTAATTAGCAATAAAAAATCAATCGTCTCAAAATGTTCCGACTTGTGGGCGTGGTCTTGTCAGTTCTCAGCATTCAGCACAATGTTGCCAAGTCTCCAACATTCACATGATATTTTGTTATGGAGAATAAGAAATATTCGGACATTTACTGCCCAGTTGACCAAAACAGCAGCTTTATCACTGCTGCATTTCAAATGTTCCATGTTTCATCACAGAGTTGTTCCCATCAGAGATATAGCATACATGAATGTCCGCCTCAAATGAAATCACAGACTTATATCAGTGATGCAACATCAGGCTTGAATAAGATTTCCCATAACTCGAGGGTTTCTATTTGTTCAAATATTCTACACCATTTTCTCCGAATATATTCGATAAAACAGGCCACAGCCTTTAGGGGTATCGGCAAAATTTTGTGATTTTTGACTTTGACATTGGCCTCACGTTTTAGTAACGCCCCCCACTGGTGAGACTGAGAATGTTAGCCTTCATGACAACACTTCAACTCTCTATTAGAGAGTTGAAGTGTTGTCATGAACGTTAACGTAAACGTAGAAATTGACAGCTACGCATGCGCATTTTCCAATTCTTCACGTTTGCGTTGTTAGTGGGCTTACGGGTGTACGTTATCTCACGTTCCTTCACGTATACCTTAAATATCAACGTACGTTAACCAAACTATACTATAATTATCAAATTCGAGATCACCAACGAGTTCTGCATCAAGGAGTCCTCTAATTTTGACAGGAATAAATGTTCGAATCTAAACACACAACCAAAAATGACCAATACAAACCAAAAACAAAATGTATTATTACTTTATGATGACAGTGACAACCAAAGTGGCGACTTCAACTCAATTTGACGACAATACGTAAACGTTATTTTTCGTACGTTAACGTCTACGTGGAGGTCTACGTACAGTGATTACTTCAACTCTCTAATATATTTTCATGTGACATGTGTGGTTTTTGAACGAAAATTGAGACACTACTGCATGAAATCTGTTTCTGTTACTGTTTTAAGAACATATAACGAACATTATACTTGAAAAACGCAGGAAGAACGAAAAGAAACAGTTTTGCATTAAGAACCCAAAAAATAATAGCTCATGTCTGTGACAAGTGCGGTTTTTGTGGAATTTTCTTCATTTCAACCATGAAAATCAGGCTAACATACGTGGTTTTTGCTAGGAAATGTCGTAGAGGCAAAGCTGAAATATTTCCTGACAAATGTTTTTGCTAAAACACCCATATATTTTTAATTTGAAATTAGTTTGAATCTTAAATTTATTATAATTTAGTTGCATGAATCCACCTCAAGAATATCACCCGCTATACTTCATTATTCATTGAAAATTTCTAAAAATTTCAATGAAACACATACATTTCAGTAAAAATTCTTGAATTTATGGAATTTGTCAAATTGTCAAGTAAATTTTCATGACTTTCAACTGAAATTTGTCCCTACCCTAGCACCAAGTGCCCCTTTCTGCAGAGCAACGCGCTACCCCTGGATAACCTAATCGAAGAAGAACCTAACGATTCGTACTGCGGCTTGGTTTTGCATCCCCAAGCCACCCCTGAGGGCATGGAGGCAGCGAGAAGGTTGGGGGAGGACCTAGCAAGGGACTTGATCGGCAAGGGGGCCTTGGAGGTGATGACGCAGGCGCAGGCTATCGTACACGGACAGGTGCAGGCTGGGGGGAGATGATGGAGGGGTTCAGTTTGAGCAGGGGTTGGTAGGTGGGAGAGGTATTTAGGGGTTCCAATTGTTACATATTGTGGTTTATACAGCTTTGTGGTTATTTGTTGTTTATTTTATGTAATATATTCTCTGGATATTACTGGTTTGTTTATTATTATGCAATGCAATTGACCTTTTTTAAATAGAGCAGTTTAGCTAGCCTTGAGAGAGAAGAAAATGTCTAAATGTCTTCCCCATCTGTAGTATCTGTTCTTGTCTTCAGTGTTCCAACATAAAATAATGAAAATTTGTTGGCAACACTGAAAATGAGAAGAAACGGAGAAGAAGACCGTTTTAACCTTTTTTGATATTGAGGTTAAAATGACCTTCTTCTCCATTTTTCTCATTTTCAATGTTACCAGCATAAAATTTCCATTATTTTACGTTGGAACACTGAAGACTTTTTTTCCCTCTCAACGCTAGATCTATTGAAAAGGGTCAGACTTTCTGTGCTATTTGTTGACAGCAGTTACTGTCGACCTGAGTGTCATTTGTCAATGTCAATTATATTTAGGTAATTTGAAGATGGAATTATTCTTTTGGGTGTATGATAAATTGACATTCATCATACAGGGCGTGGAAAGAAGTTCTGAATTGAGACTCTATCACGAATCTGCGATTATTCACCCTTTGACAGATATATATGGAAGTTGGCAACACTGCCAACTATAAAATGTGTTCTGTGAACTTGACGAGTCTAGTCAAATTCGAACGAGAGAGAGGAAAGTTCTCTCCTCTTCCATCTTTCTCTTCAGTAGCGTAATATTATATCAATCAACGCTTCAGTGCTACCAGCGTGGCCGCATAGAGAGATCCGATAAGTATTTCCTTGTCTAACGTCTGTCTACTTTGGGCCACTGAACTATTTTCGATGTTATAATGATGACTATGTCATAAATGTCATTGACTGATCATACTTATTTTGACATGAGTTTTGACATCACTTGTTTATCGTTGAATTTGAAACTCTGATGAATAGAAAAATAGATCAGTGGCACAAAGTAGATGTTAGACAAGGAAAGATTTATCGGACCTCTCAACATTGTTAGCATTGCAGAAAGAGATGGAAGAGGAGATAACTTTCCTCTCTCTCATTCAAGATAGAAAAGAGGTCAATTGTGGAAATATCGATGAAATAAACCTCTGGTGTACGCACTTCAATCCTTTCCTGTTTTACAATTCCTTGATTTTCGCCTACTTCGATGAACATAACATGGCGTGGGTGAATGTCGCTAAATTTAGTCTGGTGCCGTACCAAAATTACAGGCATCAATGTGACAATTGTGACCGAATTGTGACCAATGAAGATAGGGAATACATTTTGCGATTTAGCCGCATCAAGGTTGGTAGAATTTGGGTAGAACTGATGTTGATCATAAGTTCTAAGAATCACGCCATCTAACATTCGATATGTGAACCACACGTCATCATCTGAAATTCAATTGTTTATATCAAGAAACCAGTCTGACGGAACAAATAAAGAGTGAGCGCACCAGAGGTTTATTTCATCAATGTGGAAATAAAGAATAAAAGAATACTAAAGGAATTCCATTCCTCTCTCCTCCTGAAGTATAAAACATGATTCTATTCAACAGTTTTTGATCTGAATGAAATACAATTATTTTGACGGTGGCGATTATGTTTTGACATTTGATATTGATACCTCTGCAGGCAATTCGCCATAGAAAATAAGCGTACGCCACCTATGGGAGTTCTTGAAAGCTGTCAAAGCTCAAAGGGCATGTTTACTTTGTTTTCATTGGATCACATTTGTTTTTTGTTTGTGCTTAAAAAATTTATTATTATTATTTTCTATCACGGATTTCACAATATGAAATGTTTAACCCTTGAAAATATGGTCAATGACCTTCCAAAGCTTTAATGGATATATTATTTTATCCTTACCAATAAATTCAACATAAGAAATAATTATTTTTTTTTCATTCTTTAGGATGAAGTTATACTAGTGATAAAAACTCAAAAAAATGACCTGACAATCTGACAATTTCCATTGGAGCCCCATATCCTTCTTCAAAATCCTTTTGTTGCTGAATTCCTTTGCCAAAAAAAAAATACTGGAGCATGGGTAGCTATCATTTTACCCCATTTACAACAAAAAAGTCTGTTCAGTAACAGTTTTAGCTTTTAGCAATGAACATTTTTCAAAGTCCAAGGTTTTGGAGATCAAAGACCTTTGAATTCACAATTTAGTGCTGTGGCTGTACAATTTTTTCCATATATTATTCATTCAAGAAAAATAGTCAACTTCTCTTCAATCTGATGTAAGGTACTTATAAAAGGTGGCTTTTGGCTTTAATTTACTGTCATTTTGAATTTCATATAAATTAAAAAGTGAAATAGATAAAATAACCCTAACCCTCCAACAAATGAAAAGTTCTTACAAGAAGCCATGGTTTCATCATATTCTCAGACTCAGATTGGTTTACATTTGATTTATATTGAATAAAATTCCATAGTATGTACATTTTTTATAATAAAATGAAGGATTTTGAAGAACCCACCTTCTTGGTGGAACAGGAGATTGAAAACACTTACTGACTTTTGGTCAAATAATCCAGAAAAAACAAGCATATATCTTCAGTTGCAGCATTAAGAAAACTAAAACTTGAATTAACCTAAATTGTTCAAGGTAAGAAACTGTATTTGAAAATTCTTTTAAAAACATACCCTATACATTGTCAATATTACCATCAATACATTACCAATATAAACACATACATATTAAGGCCTCATCCCAATCCCAGGGGACTTCCTGAACATTGTGAAGTGCTCCAAATACTGATGAATAGTATCAATGGGCGAATAGTTCTCCTGCATCCTATTCTGCAGGTAAGTAGGTGGAGTTGTAGGTCCTGAAAGCCCCAGGAACCCCTGCAGGAACTCCTTCAGCAAATCCCAGCACATGGCCGGCACCACGCAAGGTCTGTATTCCACTTCCACCAGGACACCTTTGAAATTGCTGCTCACTGTTACAGTACCCAACTTGACACAAAAATCGCCAATCTCATACCTGGGCCCTTTCGACTCTGACTTGGTTTGCTTCTTGGACGTGTAGAAGTGCGACATTTTCATCATGAGCAGGTCGAAGAGCCCATCTGTGGCAAGTGGAATGGTTTTGGCTCCAGTTTCTAGCAAAGAGAACACTGTGGCCGGTTGTTCGGAATTGTGGAGTACGTGTACAGTTCTTTGGTGGCCTAATTGGGGCACGGAGGTGTAAGTCTCGCAGTCTACGAGGAACTGGCCCTGTTGCGTGGCCCCCAACGCCAGTATGCGCTTGGATAGTATCTCTATGTTTTGGGGACCGCTGCGGTTTTCTGTGTTAAATTGCGTCAAAATTGTTACGCCCATTTCGTCCGGGCTGTTTTATTCGTGCAGCGTACAGAAGATTATCTTTTTGTTCAAGCGGAGCTAGGCATTTTTTGATTTTTTTGATAAATGGAAGCGCAATATTCGAAAAACCAATTTGAAAACTTGAAAACAGAAAACATCAAGTCGCAATGAAATATGAAATGTCAAAACAAATGAACAAAACCTTCTACTTTTTTCCTTGATTTTTCGGCCTGTTGCCAGTATCGGACGAAACACCAAAACCACTTCCTCTTCTTCTTTAGTCTGTTCCTAATAGCCATTCTTCTTTCTATAAGTTTTATTGACCTTGTCAGCATAGGCTATCCGGCGAATTTCGCGATGGAAAATCAAGGTTGGTAGAACTGATGATGTGAACCAATGAGAACAAAGTAAATAGTCCGCATTAAGCTTTGATGAACTCCGATAGATGGCGTACGCTTATTTTCTATCGTAAGAAAGCCATGACTTTTTATACTGGGTGATCTGGTAACGATGAAAAATATTGATGGAACAAATTCGTTAGAAAACTATTATATTCAGAGGTGTTATTTTACGAGAAAGTTTCGTATTGCACCTACACATGTCACCAAAAAAAAAACCATCATCAGCATGCAAATATGCAGTGAGGAGCAAAAGTCCGTACGGGGGAGCGACGTCGCTCCCCCGTAATGGCCGTGACTTAGTTATTTTAGATATTAGAGAAACAGTTCGACAAACAAGTTGTAGGATTTCATTGGATCCTTTTGGAATTGCTCAAATTTAATTTATACAGAATGTCTCTAATAAGCGCACTGACTTATAGAAGTTTATTTTTTCTAATTGGACATCGCATATAGGGACGTATATAGGTACCCTGATGTATTGCATAGCTTATTGGATTGTATACGTTTTGATAGATTATATTTGACTATAAGTGATTCATTATTAATAAATTAATGGGCAAGCTCTGCGAACTACAGAGATATCTATCTATGCCTATATATAGTTAACACAAAAAAATATGAAGATTCAGCAATAGCAATATTGGTGGTTTCGGTTCAAGGGGAAGATAACATTTTGAAATTTCTCAATAACTGTAAGTTTTGAAAGCATTTGAACATGAGATTTTCTAATTTCAGGTTTCCTGACATGAGAAATACGAATTTGTAATTCAATTGCTGTACTAATTGTTACTTCGGTAAATTACTTCATATCTTCTTTGTCCATTGAATAATGATTAAAATAAGTCAAAAATCTGAACTCTCAATTTCAAATAAAAAATGTGTACTTTTCCAAATTGTCTATATCTAACCGTTTCTGCATTGAAGAGGTTTCTGTCTCACTCATAACATTTTTTAAAGGTACCTATTTTAAATTATGAAGTAGCGAAGTGACAGCGGAAAAAAGGTAGTAATACTACCTTTGTTTTACTATTACCTCATGCAATAGTTCCCCACGGTTCAAAAGTTAAACCGTATTTTAATGTAGATATTGTGCCTAATTTCCGAAGGAGGGGGGGTGGATAAAGAAGCCTCTACCCCCAAAAATGTTTCACCCTGTAGATTGTGAAATTATTTGAAATGTTTCAAATGATGATCTTCTAGAGAGTATTGACCACACCAACCAATTTCAAATTGATATCTTCAGAAGTGAGCGAGATATTTCAATTAATGATTGAATTTACTGATCGACATAGGACACATGTCGCAAAATATCGTCATTAAAATGCAATTGTAGTTCACACTGTATTATTTTTATTAGATAGCGGAAGAAAAATTTGAATTTGTTCTAAAAAAACAATGAATGTGAAGTTGAATACTGTTTGTTGATTGGAAGTGAAGAAAGAAAGAGTTGATCAAATATTTCTTGATAAAAATACACTGTATTTTACATGGTCCTTCGAGCCGGATAGAACCAGCGACCTATGGTGAAGTTTGTACCTTGAAGCCTAAATCACTCTGTATAATTATGTTTTTTTCTCACCTCAATACGAATAATTATTAGTCGCGGAAATTGACTTATACGAAATGTTTTGTGGAAATTATTCTTGTTGTGAAATAAGCCGTTTGTGCTTATCACGGCAGTATAGACAATAATAGATAGCCCCAACAACCAACAACATATACCTCATCATCGGAGCACCTCCGCCTGATTTGATAGGCGCATGCCACCTGTTAGTCGGCGCTCGTCGTTTGTCGTTTGATCGTGAGTTACGCGTCCACAGCCCACCGAGACGTACGTTCACGTCGTTTTCGGGGCTCTCGCGATATCATCACGATCTAGTAGGTGGTCGGCGCGGTTCGATTGTTTCCACATCGTTTCGCGCTATTGGGCGCCAATTTCCTTCCGGTCTCCTTGGGACGTAAAAATCAAGTGGGTGCGATGTAAGAAACGACGGTATAATAGTATATTCTGTATACTTTGACACTGTGTGGGGAGACTTTGACATTGAAAAATAATGTAAGGGGAGATTGTGGGGCGATTGCACACCAGGCTGCTTTTGGTGCTAGGAAGTACTTCGAAACTAGGAGCGACGCTCGCTGCTATTAGGTTGGTTAGTTGTTTTTTTGACGTGAAGGCGTGAGTGCCAAGAAATAAGATTGTGTATAAGCTGTGGCTATAGGAGATAAAAGGGCATGTGAAACATTCCTCGAAATGTAACTGATTTTTTTCAATACATGCATTTTATTAAATGCCTATACAGATTCCTTGCAATCATGAAATACGGAAAAAGTAAACAACCTATTGAATCGATTTCACTGATGGAAACGAATTTCTTGTATGGCTTCATCCGAAGCTTCGTCAGTTGTCTTTTGATATAATATACATATAGGTATAATATCGTATAATAGAAAGGTAAGTAGGTATTTGAAGTATAACTACGATTTTTCCTCAAAAACTTGTTTCAAACTATTCTTGGAAGTGATTTATTGAAATAGGTGTGAAGAGTTATGTTCTGGGTAGCATTTTGTTGCACCTCTCATAAATCGTAAATATTTTGAAGGCACTGTATCAAGAAATCTTCAACAATCACTTAAAGGTGTTAAGTGCTGATTAAAATAAAAAACGAGGTCTACACTTAACCACGAAATGATTTTTTTTAGCAGATGGTTTTGTTTTGAACAAGTATGTATACATTCATCACCTGTATAAATAACTATTCATACATTTATTGGCACTTAAATCTCTTTGAATACCTATAAGATTTACAATTATTGTTCTCCCAGGGATCCATGAGATAATTGTCGGCTTTGTTGATATTTGTACCAGGTGTTGGACTAGGTATACATGAAGAAATACGAGAAAAAATATATACATAGGTCCTTTAAAAATAAAATAAAAAAAATTAAATGTTCACAACTCGATATAAACACAAATTCGTTTTTATTATCATAACCACAGTTTCCTTAAACAATGTTATAACTTTCTTAAATCGAATTGCACTCTGTAGGTACCTTTTTTTTTCAGTTTTTCTTTAAATTACCTCTCTAACGAGTTCCAAATCTGCTGAATGCCAAAATCCTTGCAAACATCACTACAATATTCTCAATTCAAAATTTTGAGTGCTGTTTCTATATAATCTTGAATATCTTATATTATCTTATATGATGCAATAGTTATACTCATACATCTAAGGTAATTTTTGCATAGAGTTTACAATATTCCACTGTTGGAACAAACAATATATACTGGGACACCTGGTATATATGTTCGTATTTGGAATAATTTGTTTTGGACAAACTTTTGTTTACTATGAGAATTATAGGAACGGAAGGCTGTGACGGAAGCCATCATTATTGGCAACAAAGTTCAAAATAATTAGCACTGCACTGCCTTCGACAACGCATCTTTATTGGTGGTTTTTATTGATGTTTAATGTTTTCCCAAGAATTTCCTAAATGCGTTTTTAACTCGGTTTAATGTGGCAATGAAGATCGTCATAAACAAAATCTTTTCGTCTTCTTGTGTTTATATATCACATATTATTATGTGTCGAATGTTGAATGAATAGAACTCAATTATATATTACCTCGATTATCACAAATTCATTGAAATATTGAAATGTTTATTTTAGAAGCATCAAAATGTATTATGTACAAAGTGATGTATGTAGGAGTGCGATAATAAAATGAGAATCCTAAATATGAAACAAATTATACCGGATGTTCCATAAGTGATGTGGTTGGGGGGTCATTTTTAATAAAAACTACCCGTATATGTGGTTATCCAATTGTTTATGGTTTGGAAGTTATTAATTTTTTTTTCATTTCTCGCACAAATTATTATGTTTACGTTTATGATTTTTTCTTCCACAAATTTTACCCGCATGTATGCACTTTTCCCAAGAAATAATTTTTATGACCTGTGTTACTTCGTATCAATTATGGAATGTTGTTTCCTTATGTTTTGTTGAATGAAATAATATCCAGTTGATTTTTTAATGTCGCTGGCAGATTTAGAAATACCTCACGAAGATAACCAACTATCAGAAAAACTTGCCCATTTAACACATATTCCGAAATGGTATGATATGGGGTTATTCAAAATAGTCTTATTGTTATTGATTTCTTTTAAATGGGTCGCTTTTTTCAAAAAATAACTTTTGAATCATCAACAAGGAAATCTAAGGAAATCTAAGGAATTTCAAAGAAATCCAAGGAAGTCGAAGGAAATCCAAGGAATTCCAAGGAATTCGAAGGAAATCCAAGGAAATCCAAGCCATTTCAAGGAAATCCAAGGAAATCCAAGCAATTCCAAGGAAATCCAAGGAAATCCAAGGAAATCCAAGCAATTCCAAGGAAATCCAAGGAAATACAAGAAAATCCGAGGAAATCCTAGGAAATCCAAGCAAATCCAAGAAACCCAAGGTATTTCAAGAAAATCCAAGGAATTCCAAGAAAATCCAAGGAATTCCAAGGAAATCCAAGCAATTCCAAGAAAATTCAAAGAAACCCGAGAAAATCCAAGGAAATCTAAGGTATTTCAAGGAAATCCAAGGAAATCTAAGGTATTTCAAGGAAATTCAAATAATTCAAAGGAAATCCAAGGAATTCCAAGGAAATCCAAGCAATTCCAAGGAAATCCAAGAAATTCCGAGGAAATCTGAGGAATTCCAGGAAAATCTATAGTTGTTAATTGACCAGAATTATACTGCACTTCACCCAAGGAATTTCAAGGAATTCCAGGGAATTCCCAGGAATTTCAGGGAATTCCAACGAATTCCAGTTTTTTGCAAAAATTAATGAAATTGAAAATGTTCTTTTTCTGATCCATATCTTTTTTCCTGGAAATCAAGTTGGAGTCATCTCAAATTTTCATTCCGTTACCCCAAAATCGGTATATTATTATAGAAATTTCTTTTCGTGCGCTCTAAGAGATGAAAATAAAGAAACAGTGTATCTGTTTTGGGAGAGTGTTTGTCATTCTATTTATGTTATATTTAAAAGCTATTTCTCAGTAGAAACGATTTCGAAAGTAATTACAACTGTTTGGTGAAGTGAGTGATAAACGGTTTCCTAGAGTTTTCAAAACAAAGGAATCTCAATTTTCGTTTCATTAATTTTTGGTTGACCTAGAATAAAAATAATCCCACATTTGTATGGTTTGTTCGAGAGTTTGTTTGCTAATTCCTTCAAATATTGATATTCAGCATCAAAAATAGAAGAAAAAAAATGTATTCCTCTCTACTATACCTTATGATTTCTCTCGTGATTTCCCTAGGGTGTTCACTTTATATATAGACCTTCACACTGGCGAAAATAGATAAAAAAGAAATCTGTATACAATATATTTTTCGTTGCGGTAAACCCAAAATCCGTGAAGAGATAACGATTGAAGTTGAAACGTCGGATATTTGAATTTTCGAGCTCCATTGTAAAAAACCCGAAAAAATCCATCCACTCGCTTTTTATTCCGAAATGAAAAATTCACGGATAACAGGTAATTGGCAAAGGACTGAGGACGATAAAGAACTATATCTTCTCCGTTCTGATGTGTATTCTGAGCAGACACAATTCAATTTCCGGAGTTAGGCCGCGTTATATACAGTCTGTCCAAGATAAAGTTGAACAGCATGGGGATCTCGAAAACGGTAAGAGATACGAACTCGGTTAAATGGGGAAAAAGTTGCGCATTCGGAGGCTCATATCAAGAGCCTTCGAAAATTCTGAAAATTATTTTTAGTTTTTGAGTTATATCGAAAAAAGTGAATTTTTGGAATTTCTATTTTATTTTTTTTCTCCGTTATTATCAGAGAAACAGAAAAACTGAAAATACTTTTTCATTGCAACTTGATCAACGTGATGATACCGATTTTTTTATGCGACGTTTCATATTCGTGGAACCATCATCAACTTTTGTTTTTTAAATACGGTCCTGATAATTTTTTCACAGGTTCTGAAAGGTTTTTTTATTCTGAATTCAACCATGTACTATACTAGGTGATTCGAATGTGTTTCGACCTATTTTTGGCCATCATCAATGTTTTTTCGAAACTCCAAAGGAAAAATGCCATCAGTTCCACTTATTTTGAAGGAAAATTAATCAACACACTAATACCTCATCAATCAACAACCCATTTCATTTTGCGGCAACAAAAATTACATCCATACAAATTCAGAATATGTCAAGCGCTAAAACCAGGCGATGACGAAAGGCGCAAGACATTCTGTGAGTGGTATACTAGGAAATGTTAAAAATTTTGCAGATTTCTTTCGAACAATCATCTGGACTGATGGAAGCATGGTCACTAATCATAGTAGCTTCGATAGAAAAAATACACATTATTGTTCACGAGAAAATGAACATTTATACATTACAGCGAGACACCAACACCGTTTCGGCTTTAATATGTGGGTTGCAATATTTGGTACACGAATTATTATTCCTTCTATTTACCATGAAACACAGACTTCCGAACGTTATAGAAATTCGCTTGAGAATCATCTTGAGAAAGCTCTGGATTATGATTTACCGATTGCGGAAGTTGTTGATTTCAACAAGATGGCGCTCCGGTATATAATTCCAGAGAAGTCCGTGCGTTTTTATCCCTTGGCCGGCGCGGTCGCCTGATTTGACACAGCTGGATTTTTTCTTAGGGGATATATCGAACTTCGTACACGCAAATAACTTTGATGATGAAGAAGAACTAAGGGACAGTGTCTTCGAAGCATTTAATAGAATAACCCCAGAAATACTTAGCACAATGTCTTAGAAGCAACTGTGAGAAGAGGATATCTTTGTTCAGAAAATAATGATTATCATTTTGAACATTTGTTATGAATGTCTCTGTAGGTATTGTCAAAGTTAAGTTGTTAAAGTAATTCGTGTAAGAATTCATCAACAATTTTAAACGCTGCATTGATCGAATGATGTAGTGAAATATTTTTATTCACTTTGCAGTATTGAATAACAAATACATCAAGTTTGACACTAAATGATCAGAAATAAGTGGAACTGATGGCTTTTTTCCTTTGGAAGTTCGAAAAAACATTGATGATGGATAGAAATAGGTCGAAACACATTCGAATCACCTTGTATAGTACATGGTT